CTGACAGCATGAGAGTGCCAGCAAGAGCAAATTCCAAGGCTGATGGACAGTAAATGACTCTGATTGCAGCAATTTGTTCACTGATAAAAAGGCTGCCTGCAGCAACTTCAACTCACAATGTACAATTTACATATAGCAGAATATAAATACAGCAGGGAAAAGATTTCATTGATGAATGCTAATGCTAACACACTGCAGTGTTAAGATAAGTAAAGAATTTCTCATTTTATTTAATCAAAGTTTCATTTGTTTTGTTTTTTTTTGTTTTGTCTTTCCAAAAGCCTCTAATTTTTAAACTGATAACCTAACTTTCATTTTTATATTAACAAAAAAATGATATATATGTCATAACAATGGTTACCTGGAAGGAGTTTACATTTGTCTGAGAAGAAAAGTAAGAATGAATCTGAGCAGTGTGCACAAGGTTTCTGAACTGTCTTATTGACAGACACTGAGGTCCTGTGTATGATGTTAATGTTCCCTATACTTTAGACCATGTATATAATCATAAGTCAGTGTCATGGCATAGTGAATTCCTTTTATAACTGACTGCTTGGATTTTAGAAAAGCTCAGAAATTTGCTTTGGCAAACAGTTAACAGTAGTTGGATCAAATGCATGGATCAAACATGAACCGCCCATGGTCAGTACTACAAATGTATTTGTCTCTCAAATATGTCTCCAGTCTGTCCACTGGAACTACTTATCATTTTTAACAAACTATAAACTAGATTCTCTGAAGCCTTTTCTTGGGCTCCTCACATGTGTGCAACATATGTTCTTCAGAAGCAACGTAAAGCAGAAAAAACATTCAAATGTAGTTATGGATCTTCATTAAAACTGTATAATATATACACTATTTACAATATGAACTTTAAGTCTCTGTCTAAACACAACAGAACCTATTGACTGGATTTTAGTTTGTACCTGAAGTCTATATCATACGTAGGCTGAAGGATACCCAGGCCAGCACGGGACTGGTCAAGAGGCGGGGCGTTGATACCAAGGTCTAAAAGTTCCATGTCAAAGTAAGACAGAACAAGAGTCAAGAACTGTTTGATCTCATACACAGCGAAAAATCTGCCCGGGCATTTAGTGACCCCAGAGCCGAAGGGCATGTAGAAGTAACGCAGCCGCCGCCCACTGCGGTAGAAAGTGGTTTTCTCCTGACCCTTGTTGTCCAGAAAACGGTCAAACTTATACTCCTGCAGAGTGAAGAGGAGAAAGAAATGAAGAACAAAAAAAAATGCAGTAATTTCTTGGTGAAGAGACTTTTCTTATTTATAACCCATCCGACTCTTACATAGGGATCCTCATAGATTTCAGGATCATAGTGCAGCAAAGGCGGATACAAGGCTATGACATCATCTTTCCTTATGTGGTAAGCTTCTTGGTTATCAAGGTGAAGGAGGAAGTCTTCCTTGGCAACACGCACATTCATAGAAGCACTGGAAAGACGCATGGCTTCTTTAATGATGCTGTCTGTAGACATCAAGGAGACAGACATAAAGCGAATACGTTAATGCTAAAATTCTGAACGCTAGTCTTTTAATTTAACAATATTAGGTATGTCACTTTTTCTTCTAGTGATCTAATAACTGGGTAAAATAAGTAATCTCACCCAAAACAGGCATGTTGTCCAGCTGGTCCCTGGTGAGGTTCAGTGAGGGGTCGCTGGGGTCAACTGTCTTACCAGAGTCTCCCAGGATTTTCTGCACTTCCTTGTGAGCGGCTTTCATAGCATCTGGACTCCTGCGCAGAGGTACAGCCTCTTACTGTGTGTATTTCTTTCACTATTCTGTGCTTATATCCTATATTATTTTTATTGTAATAACAATTAGTTTTCTTCAGCAGAAGTTATTGATATTAGGCTGCGTACTGCATTTTAAATTAATACATTTGTTGTGTTTGAGAAAGGAGTTTATGGGAAAAAAATATTTGAAAAGCTGCTCGATTTTTAATATTTAGTCATGTGGGCTGTATCACATCACATATTGTCCAGCACATGTAGATTTCCAATCTAATCGAGTCTTTGGCCCAAAACAAACAAAAATATGTAGCCTGTGCAAAGGCATGGCCCATGATAGTACCTGTGAGTGTAGAGGGTAAAAATTCATGTTCATGTTAGGGATCAATGTAACACTACAATGTACATCAGCATTACTTTTTATAATAAGTATTTCCTTAGATAGCCGGAAACATCCATGCAGTGCTAGGAAATTAGTTTTTTTTTGCATGTAATGTGACATATGACATAACTTAAACATAGGTACCCTACTTAGGATCTGTAAAAAAGAAGAGCTGTGCTCTCAGATATAAACTGCACAGTGATTGGTCAACAAGACTTTGTGGTAAGGTATCAAGAATACTGTGAAGTCTTGATGCATGCTCAGTCATCAATGTAAGGAAAGCTAATTCTGTTAAAGCTAAATCTGGTGGGAAACACATTTCAGTCTCAGCTGACTGCAGGTTTCCCCATTGACTAACAATGTCAAAGGTCAATTTCATGATAAGAACTTAGTGATTCAATGTCAATAACACTTATCAGTTCAGTTCCTTATCGATTCTCTTATCATCCTTATTGGGTTTTCATTGGCTCCCCTTTGAGAGTGACCACCATCGCTAAGAAGCATATCAAGAACATTGCTTTTGTACAAATTAATTACATGCTGTGTGGTCAAATGTTCGGGTGTTGAAAAAAAAAATTTAAAAGTAATAAAAAAGTAATAAATGTAATAATTACACATCTTACACTGAATGCTTTTCTTAAAAGTAATGCAGTATTTTACTTAATTACTCACAGGAGAAAGTACTTTCATGTTACTCTGTCTCATAATTACCATTTAACAATGTGAACCTGTTGGCTACAGTCCTACAAACCAAGTTAAATCCCCATCCTAATTTCAGTTCAATTAAATTTTATTTACACTGCGTTAAATCACAACAATAAGGTGCTTCATATTGTAAGGTCGACCCTACAATAACACATACAGAGAAAAAACCAACAGTCATGACCCCCTCTGAGTAAGCACTTTGGTGACAGTGGGAAGGAAAAACTCCCTTTTAACAGGAAGAAACCTCCAGCAGAACCAGGCTCAGGGAGGGGCGGGGCCATCTGCTGATTGAAATCAGCTAATTGTAGCGTGATTGCAAGAACCAATAATCAGGATCTATGGGCAGGTGGAACTGGACTACTGGGAACTGGTTCTCTACAAGAACCATCCATAATCTACTCTGTGCAAATAGTCATGGTGAGCACTATTAACAGAGAGCTGAGGAGCGGCTACAATCAGAGCATTGCAGGATGGGGAATGATGTACCATTAGGCCCCCTCCTCGATTCAGAGATGGTCATTTTCGTTTCACATGAATGACCTCCTTGACTGACGCTCAGACCAGCGTACATCCTCATTATTGAAGCAGTGACATGTAACCACTGATACACATCAGGGCTTTTTTGATATGATGTTTTTCTGCTTCCCTGGCTGCTGTGTCTGTAGAGATGGTGTCCCTCTATGTTGTAGAGTAATTATGATACTGATTTGTATGCAGGTTTTTCGTACACATAACCTTTTGAATGCCCCTATTACTGATTGAAATTTCACAGCAAAACAATGTCCAGATGAACAGCATCATCTTTCTGGTAATGTCCTGCTACTGTACCATTTATTGCTGTATTTTTCTAATTATTTTTGTTATCGTGTGATGTTCGTACACAGAGTAAAACTCACGAGACTGATTAGCCACACAATTTGATTTACTATTCCTTATGGCTTTTCACGAGACAGCCCATTACCAGCTTACCTGATCATATAAAAGAGACTCCAGAAGGTAGCAGGCAAGGTGTTAGCCTGTGAGGCCCAGAGCAGAGCAACATGGGTCCTGGCTTTGCTGATGTCATTGAAGGTAGATAAGGAGTCATTCAAGATCATCCTCATGGAGATTAAATCGGACACATTCTCTCTCTTGGACAGGTGTTCAGCATGCATGGTCTTAGCTAGGTTCTACATAAGAGTGTATACAAAAGAACATTCAAACATATTAGAGGATGAAAATGTTACAAAACTCAGAGGCCTTTGACTGTGACAGTGGTAGGTAAAGCCTACTAACCTCTCGGGCACTGTAGGCACTTTTGAACACGTGAATAGGCAGCCCGGCCACAAGTGCCGGGAAGATTTTGTCAAATTCTTTGAAGTTCTCCAAAGCATTGAGCACCAAAGCTTTCTGGGCCGCCTGCCGAGCCTGACACTTGTCTTCACCAAGCTCTTTACCAAACAGAGTTAGGTAACCAGATTCAAACATCACCTGAAGAACAGCAGAGCACAAACTTATAAATGACTTTTTCAAGGGTTTTTTACTCACATATGTGGCATGAATTGTGTCCCACCTTGAGTAGAGAATATAGGTGGAGAACCTTTGTAGTTACTACATCATGACTATTCAAGAGAAATGTATCTTCCAGTGGCCAATGCTTTCACTCTAAATTCAAGTTACTGACCTTATAGCAAAAGGCAAATATGCCGTCCACCTGCCAGTGGTCCTTGCTTGGGCTGAGTGTATCTGATTTCAGCATGACATCCTGAAGGTGCCCCATCATTGTCTCAATAAGGGAGGGAAGAGCCTCCCCCTGTAGTGTTTTCAGAAACGTCTGATGGAGGTTCTCTGTGGTGTGGCCATGGCGAGGATCAAAGCTGTCATGACCAAACGCCTTGTAAAGAAAGAAGAGCTTCAGGACTATCGAAAGATCGACCAATAGAATGAGAAAGTGGATCAAGAAAAGTGTCCTAACAGACTATATGATGTAGTCAAATAATATATCTTTTATAATAAAAGATCAAATCACGTCATAAAATTACCTTGACAGATGTAGCAAAATGGAACTTCCTCCAATCAAGGTGTCTTCCGTGCCTGATGACTGAGTGGTAAGAGAAGGGGTCGCACAGGAAGTGGATGTACCTGCCTGCAATTTTGCAGGTGAAAATGTGACCGTACTTCTTCTGGCGGCTGCGGAGGAATTGAAGTGGGTTGGCCCCGAACTGGAGAGCACAACCTAAGTAGGGGATCAAACCATTTTCAACTGCTGGCTCACCTGGTTGCCTGAGGACAATGACAAGAAAGAGATCACAGAGATAACTCGCTTTGTTGGATCTCAGTTGTCTGGATCGAATTCTGTAACTTCAGGATAAAAACCCTTTCATTTGTCTGGCATGTGTGTCAATGATTTCTTCAAGACTTCGGCTGCACTGATGCCTTTAGACTGCACTGATTTTGGCAGCAGCACATATTGTGCATTTCATATAGTTCAGCTAATTTAGTAATAAATGAATATCTCAGTGTTATTAAGAAGTCATTATTTTACAAATACAGGAAAGTGTAAACTGAAATGTTCAAATAAAACAATGAATCAGAGAGAGCAAAATGTTGGCTGCATCTCAACAACAATTCCAAAACTTTGCAAACCTACAAATCGGGAATGATTGTTGACATAGTCACATAGCAGTCACCTCTGTGTTACTAAATGGCCTGTATTTGTATAGCACTTTACTCGTCCCTAAGGACCCCAAAGCGCTTTATCCAGTCATCCACCCATTCACACACTGGTGATGGCAGCTACATTGTAGGCACAGCTGGGGCGCACTGACAGAGGC